CCCTCCCCAAAAACATCATGTTGGAATTTCAGATGCACAGAAGTCTAAATTCCAGATTTTCTTTGGCTCAGTATTTACCTGGTCTGTAAAACCCCCATTCAGTTGCCATTTTGGAGCTTCTCCATATGGTTTATCTGTCAGGTTTGACAGAGGCCACCGTTTGAACCCACAAGAAGGAGCAGATTGTATACTGAAAGATCTCACGTGGTCTGGATTAGTGCCAGAGAGGGGAATAACTGGTACACGAATTTATAAGATGGGTTACTCTGTTTTAGTGACTGTCAGAAGTTTCTAATGCAATCAGTAGATTTCCTGATGGCTGACAGTGCAGGTTGGGATACCATCCATTTTTTTAACATGCAGTTGTCTGTATTAGATAAACCACCTGCAGAATTAGCACTAACTGGGTTTGTTGTTGACAGACCTGTTCTTATTTATTATTTGTATTATCACAGTGCCCGGGAGTCTGTGTCATGAACCAACATCTAGTTGTGCTAGGTGCTGTACAAACACAGAAGAAAAAGTTAACCTGTCCCTAGAGAGTTTACAATCTTAAATATAAAACGAGACAGCAGATGGATACAGAGCCATGGAGGAGTACAAGGAAAGAAGACGACACTGTTGGTCAACATGATGGCAGTGGTCTTGTTATACCAATGGCCAAAATGTTGTTTTTTTCAAGGCTTCAAGGCAAGGGAGAATTTTAAGGAGGGCAACAGCAGCATAGAAGGGGAGAGGAGAATGGTCAGGTACATTGATATTAAAAAGTGGTGACAGAGTGGCAAGGGGATGAGAGGCTGATGGTGGCAGAAATGGAAGAGAAGCTTCTCATCCCTGCTATGGTCTGACTGAGAGTGAGATGTGCATGAGAGAAGGAAGGGTGTCCAGAGAAGAGGACAGTGGCAGAGTCATTGCCAGATCCAGGCCTCTGTGAGGGATAGTAGCTGGAGGGAAAGCAAGATGAAGTCATGTATGGCTGTGATGGATGAAGTAAGTGGTCCAGAAACAGCAGAAGAAGGCGGGGGCAGAGAAGGGGATAGGCACGAAGTTAGGAATGGTGGCATAAAAAGGATGGAAAGCGGGGAAGGAGTCCCTGGGCTAGAGCAAAAGTGACTACAGGTGAGGAAGAGGATGCAGATGAGGGACCAAGATTTGTCCTGTCAAGTGGACAGGGAGATGGGTGTAGAGATGGGAAAAGGAGTGGACAGAACTGGTGGGAACATCATAGGGTAAGCAGGAAGGGGGATGGAACCAGTGGTGAGAGAGGAGGATATGAGAGGCCAGAGAATGAGGGGGCTAGAGAGTGAGCTCCACTTTTGCTCTCACACCTAAAGGAGGTCCCTCCAGAGCACACTGTTACCTAGGCTCTTTCTCTTCTGTGTCATGGAGAGTTCCAGTCTGTAGGACCATCACCCCGTCAGTACATGCATTTAAAATGGAGAATGGAAAATATTGTCAGCAGTAAAACGGGGGAGCCAAGAATGGGCGCAGTGATCAGGAGCAGGCTGTCAGGGTGTCATGCCATGCTGTTCACAATGGCCTCGTTGTGCCTTTCAGGAATATGAGGAAAGACTAGCCCAACTGAAGGCAGACTTTGAAGCTGAGCAGGAGTCCCGGGTCCGACTTGAGGAAGATATCACTACTATGCGCAATTCCTACGACCTCAAGCTGTCCACTCTGGAGGAGAATCTCAGGAAGGAATCAGGTGTGAACAAGGCAGGGCTAGGCACAGAAGGGCAGGCACACACCCCAGAGGGAGGAGCACGTAGGCTGTTGGAAACCAAATGCAGATAATAGGAATTTTAATTGTGGGTCACAGTCGCACTAATTTGACATAAAAGTTCAACCTACGGAGAGGGCAGGTCCCAGCGTGCAGTGCTCTCTTCATTTGGCTGGGCACAGTTCATTCACACACATTATTCAAGGAGAGTGCTGAAGTCTTCTTCATTATATGTGAATAAAGTGTGGCCCTTGCCTAGTAAACTGCTAGCGCGGTCACTCTGCTAAGCAGAGTTTGAGCACTCCTGCAGCATACCCATGACTCGCTGTCAGACTTGAATTATCACCAGTATGAATATAACTTTGTATTAGTGCCTTGGGGATGGTTGTGCTGGACAAACACAAAACATAAAGCCAATCTCTGCTCTAAAGAGGTTATAAACAACAGTACAGTAGAATATGCATAGCTCACAGAGTAAGGTTCTGTAGCCCTTGCAAAGATGAGCGAGTGTGTGAACCAGCCAGGGGTTATATGTAACTGCGTTAAACAGCTGCACAGAACTGCTGATGTGCTCCAGCTGAGTGGAGCAGTGGCAAAAGTCAGCAAATGGCTTTGCTGCTTGTCCTTTGTTCACCCTTACCTGTGACAGAGGCTGATTATTCTCATGTGAACCTTGGAGGTTCCAGGATTTTTCATCCATCATGAAAACTACTGTGCTTCATATGGTATTCTGTGGGTCTCCCAGGACTTTCCCTGAATAGCGTGGTGGTTAAAACCACTTCTTTTGTTTACAAAGGCATGGACGGTGCAGATTTGGGTTGCATGATATTCTAGTTCTGCAGAGCTCACAGTTAACAGTTGCATGGATTTTTCTCTTCTCCAGTCCTGAGAGTTGAAGCCCTTCCTGACCAAGCACCTTTGCCTCCAGGCTCTGTTGTCCCCATAAGAGAAGCAGAACAGCTGTCAGCCAAGGTACCCTTCAAGCGAATGCTCTCTATGAGACAGATGGAACAGACCTAGCTGCCCCTCCTATCTCTCTGCTGAATTCATCAGTTTGTATTATACAACATGTATTTATCTAGCTGCACAGTGCAGCAGCCTCTGCAATGGGATATGACAGCAGTGTAACAATACACAGTAGCATTATGGGAAATGAAGAAGAATCCCAGTTGGAAATTCCAGGGTGGAATTTAGCTTTTCCAGTGGCAAAACTACCCCACTGCATACTAATCCCCCTGAGGATTGTGTGTCATTTTTGGTGGCTTACACCGCAGTGTGAGAGTGTGTTCCTTACCTGTTTATCTATAAGCAGCTGTAGAGTTGGATAATTTACTACATCTCTCTCAGTTCAGACACTGGATGTTTCTAGAACAGGTGCCTTTGGTTTCCCTTTGCCTTTAGGACGCAGCAGAGACTCTAGTCACTGAGCACATTGGGACAGTGACCAGAGACGACGTGGGACCAGAAGTGGTTGTCCCTACTGAGAAGCTTCCTGTGGCTGTAGATCAGCAGCAAGTGCTTGCCAGGTCCATAATTGTGCAGCTGTGCTTCTGGCTCTGCAGCATTTCTTCTATGCATTGCAGTTACCAAACAGAATAGAAACAACCGTGCTTTGTGCTCTATTAATGTCACCGAGCTCCAAAGGTGTTCAGTGCTGCATAAAACAAAGACATGTTCCCCCCACACACATTATTGTGTCAGATCTCAGCACTCCCATTGCCAACATTTTTTCTTTTAACACAGAAGGAAAGGAAATTCACTCTTGTGATTATGTTGCTAAATATCAACGTTTTCAGCAGATCAGGCAGAGTAGCTTGGTTCCTCAGGGCTGGGATTTTCAAAGCCTTGGAAAGGTTTCATAGCATACGGTGGCTTTGGAAGCAGAATTCAATTGTGCATTAAAGTCGCTGAGTTTAAAATGGAGCAGAGAGAGACAATTCTTTCTGGAGGAGACTGAGCTGTCTGGGTATGAGTTTGTATACTCTTCTGAAAGAGAGAATAAGAGGATATTATCAGTGTAGGCTTCATCTGCCCTGAGGATTTGCCCCAATTTCAGGCAGTGTTAGCTAACCCATGATAGAGATGCACCAGTGCAAATCACAGGACAGGCAAAGGGAACAGTGCAAAGGTATACCTTAACATTGGGTTCTAACTCTTATCACTGGAAATTGTGGCTCATCACCATTTACTATGTTTATTATGCTAGAGCTTTGCACCAGTCAGGGCTGGATTAACACACAGGCAAATTAGGCACATGCCGTGGGCCCTAAGTGAAGAAGGGGCCCAGTTGTGTATATTTTACATATTATAATTATTGAGTGAAAAAAGTAATATACACATTTCATCTTCAGCTGGGGGTCCACAAGTGTGTTTGCCTAGGGCCCACTAAAGGGTTAATCTGGCCCTGCACCGGTGCAGTTACTTAGGAGGGTTGGCAGCTAAATCTGGAATCCTTGGCATAGACAAGGTGTTGTAGTAAGACATTAGACTCCCTAAGGGTAACAATGTCTTTTAAATGACCCATCCAAGAATTATTAGGGAACCATTTCTTCCTCCTGTGCAGAAAACCTTCTGCAGCTCATTGATGACCATGCATCATGTAGAAGCAATTTATCTTCTTACAATGACCCAAGGTCAGCATGTGACCAAATTTTGCTGTCCCCATAAAGGACTTATTTTGTTGCCTTAGCCAGTCCCTTCCCTCTTAACATAAATTAGGAGTGTTTTCTTGGAGATGGTCTGTAGCTTAATTTCAGCACCTGTTATATCTGTTTCAGGGCTAAGTGGAGGATTTTAAAGACATGAGAATCAGAAATTTAATTTAAAACAATCTCTTTTGCCTAAGAAATTCACGGCTGTACATGTGGTGCATTTCCAATCTGAGTGATGAGGCCATTCAGAATGCATGCAAGGATACGTTCATTGACCTTATGCTTTGGCAAACGTCAACATTTATCACCAGAAAGTAAATATTAAAACTGAGATGTTCCTTCATTATGTGGGTCAGCAGATCTCGTCATGTCCTACAATAGAAATCACTATCTGCTTGTTGTATCCTTATAAATGCCTCTAGGCAATTACCAAGGAAGTGAATTGCTTGCAAATATGCAGATGTTCCTTTACACTGCAGAACTAAGACATGTACCCAACTCTTTCAGGCTACAGATGCTGGAACAACAGGTGGTGGGAGGAGAACAGGCCAAAAATAAGGACCTGAAGGAAAAGCACAAACGTCGGAAAAAGTACGCGGATGAGCGGAAGAGGCAGCTGGTTGCAGCTCTACAGAACTCTGATGAGGACAGCACTGACTGGGTTCTACTTAATGTCTATGACTCCATCCAGGAAGAAGTGCAAGCCAAGAGCAAACTGTTGGAGAAGATGCAGAAAAAGGTAACCACTTGGAAGCAACTCTGCTGTACAGGGCTAGGAAGCGTCTAGCAAGGTTCTTCTCCGTGGTGCTCTTTTCTGTTGTTCAGCATCTCCTCCTTTCCTCTCATTCCATCCTTTTGTTACAGTAATGAGTATCTAGGCAGCATATCTGAAGAATAACTATCGCATTCCTGTGGTTACTAAAGCCATGTAAGTCTGTCTGCCCAATCCATGGTAAGAGACAAGATTATGAGTTAGGTGTGGATACTGAGTGATTACCGTAGCCCCCTGGAGAAATGACAGCTTAAATGTGAATTTACCCTGACACATCACAAAACCTCAACATTTCTAAAAAAAATTAATAAGATTTTTAACTTGGAGCATGGAGAGAGACCAAAACTGCTGCTGTGTTTTTCTTTTTTTCCATCTGGATGTAATACAGAATAGATGCTGGAAACGAAACAGCCTATGACAGCTTTCTATGTGATGTACTTTGAGGCAGCCGTGTCCTGTGGGCAGAACAATAGACAGGGAATCAGGAGGTCTGAATTTCTCACTTGGCTCTGTTGTTGACTCAGTGTGTGACCATGAACAGGTTTTTTTTTCCTCCCTGTATTGCAAATTCCCCATCTAGTAATGGGAGAAAATGATTTCCATTCACCATTGCAAAGTTCTTTGAAAGGAAAGTAGATAAGATTCATCTAGACTGTATTTCCTTAGCTTACTAATGAGGACGCTTTTATTTCCATGATGCAGCTGCGGGCTGCCGAGACTGAAATCAAAGACTTGCAGTCAGAGTTTGAGCTGGAGAAGATTGACTATCTTGCTACCATCCGGCGGCTGGAGCGGGATTTCATGCTGTTGCAGCAGCTCCTAGATCAGGTGCAGCCCCTCATACGGCGTGACTGTAACTACAGCAATCTAGATAAGATCAAACGCGAGTGTGTCTGGGATGAGGATAGCGGCTGCTGGAAAATTCCAGAGCCCTTCATTCAAAAAACCAGCCTCCCTGCAGGTAAGAAAGACATCTTCATTGTACTCCCATCTTATGCAGCTTCTCCACAGCTCACCAGCACAAGCCAATAGGCCATTGGTTCCCAACTTTTCTAACCTCAAAGCACCCCTCCATGACTTCTGTGAATTGAGTGGCACCCTATTTCAAAAACTAATTTATTGTAGTGCTTACTTGCTTGAAGAGACGCTGGGAAGGAGGGGAGCTGCTGGCAAGGATAAGCTTGAGTTGTAGTGAGTGTGGGGAGGAGGTGCAGCCAGAAGGGAAGAGCCTGCACTTATCTCCTCCCCAGAGCCTGCGCTTATCTCCCTTATTCCGTCTCTCCTGGTGGCATGCTTCAAAGACTCATGCAACCCTGACTGAGAATCACTGCAATAGACCATAGGTCACATAAGGATAACAGGCATCTCTGAAACCTTGCTTTGGATTACATGGACAGAGTAGACCACAGTCTTTCTGTGGGAGCCTGGGTAATAACCTCATTTCCCTAGAAAATGGAAATGTTCACTTGAGAGCTGTAGCATCCACGTTATGCAGGTGCCAGTGCGATAACACAAATCAGTCATTGCATGAAAGCTGTCCTTCTACAGTAGTGCTTCTCAACCAGAGGGTCGCAGCACCCTGGGATGCCACCATTTCCTTTGCAGGGTGCCAAGAGGTGTGAGGAGATAAGCAGGTAAGTGCAGGCACAGGCTTGTCCCTGCTTGGCCAGTCCCCCACCCTCACTCCCCAGCCCCTCTGCAAGGAAATAAGCACTGTAATATATACATTCATTTTTGAAATTGGGTGCCATTCCATTCACAACAGTTATGGAGGGAAGCCTCGAGTTCAGTGAGCAGTGCCTCAAGTCCAAAAAAGGTAGAGAACCACTGTTCTGCAGTCTACCAAGTAAACAGCAATATGGGGACTGTAGTAAGC